CGAGGACGAACATCGCCGTCGTGACGTCCTGCAGGTTGGACCAGGGCTGCAGGTAGAGCATGCCGCCCGGGGTGAGCCGCCCGCTGCGGCCGTCACCGTGCTGAACGACGTTGCAGAGGAAGCTCTCCACGTTGCTCCTCATCTCGGCGTGGCGGCCGTTGTTGGGCAGCTTCCCTTGGAGGATGAGCTGCAGAATGGCCGGTATAGTCATCAGTTCCTGAAGCTAAAAGTTGCTGTCGCTTCATCAGACCAATACTAGGATCATCTGGTACATTTACCTTGGCGACCAGTGCCTGGGCTCCGACGAACTTGTCGTCCCAGGATAACGACTGCCGCACCCCGCCGACGTTGTTGTCGCCGGCGATGTAGGCCTTGTACTCGTGGTGGCCGGTGGCGATGTAGAGCCAGACAGCTGCCCACAGCAGCTCGTCCTGTTCCAAACAAGTTTCAGTATTTGCTTTACAATACTGCTATGTTTCTGTTCATTATCGTGACATTAATTAGTGATGTGATACCTCGTCGCCGCTGCTACTGTAGAAACTTCTGGCCGATGGAATGCTGTTCTGGTAGAGGCCACGGTTGTTCTTGGCGAACTGAAACAACTGCAGAAGCAGCAAGTGACTGAAGAAATTAGCTGATACAGCTTCGTCTGTGCACGTTCAGTTTTCAAGCAATAATTTGACATTCATTTTTAGCCATGATATGACCACGACTTTATGAAATGGTTCGTCAAATTAATTCTCTCGCATTATCTTCAAATTGATCGTGCCCACGGTAACCGTCCAATTTGTGCTGTGCATGCAATGTAGTGCATGTAATTATGCAGTGGTAGACTGGTAGTACTATCTCTTCATGCAAAGCACAGTTACATGTTTGCCTATTTCGCGTGCGTCAGAAGCGCCAAAGGCGTATATGGAACATTATGATTGTTAATAATTGTGTAATTAGAATGGCACATTAACATGTGCGCCGCTCTATTTTTCTTACCTATTACACCAAATGATTTTTGGACCATCCATTGGATTTGTATAGAATCGATTGTGTAATCTGTGTGCTGTGCATGCAATGCCATATGCATACGTGTGTGTCTCAAAACATGAAGTAATGTAAGAGCAAGTATTGTGCACCTGTTTCGCGTGCTTCAGAAGCGTAGACGCGTACCGGGAGTCGCCGCGCGGCCCCGTGAACGCGACGGAGGCCGCGGCCAGTGCCGCCGCCGTCTCGGCAGCGACATCGGAGCCCGGGTGGGTGGCGTTCACCAAGTACGACCTCCGGGGCGTGTCCATGTCCTCCGGCCGCTCCCAGCACGCGTGGTCGGAGTCGCCGTCGCCGACATTCACGTAGAGCACATCGGGGCGGGCGTGCGCCTTGGCCAGGTAGTCGGCGCCCCAGCGCACCGCCTGGAGCGCGTGGCCCAGCTCCCCCGCTGCGGCCAGCCGGCCCCGGTGCTCCACCACGCTCCACGACAGCATGGTCGCCGTGAACGCCATGGGGAACCCGAACTTGACGTTGTCGCCGGAGTCGTAGTAGCCGCCGGTAAGATCCACCTGCACGTCGATCGATTAAGCATGTCAGCATAATGCACGAACCAAACACGTACAACGTACCACACATGCATATCAGCATATGCATCGCCGACGTGCTTACCCCGTGGTCGGCGCCGTCCTTGAGGGCCGAGTTGCCGCGCCACTGGACGCGCTGGGTCGGCGGCAGCCTGCCGGAGCGCTGCGCCTCGAAGTAGTGGCGTAGTCCCGCTGGGCGGCTTGGCACGCCGTGGTTGCCAAAAACCCTACCACGGCGGCAACGAGAAGCATCCTGGCGCTAGCCACCATCTTGGGCGTCCTCGGCGTCAACGAGTAGTTTCTTGTATTGTACCACCGCGTTATGTGTGCTCCTCTCGTCGATGGGACGAGTGTATTTATAGGCGAGGAACAAGGTTTCAATCCACTATGAATTGGTGAAACAAATCCATCAGAAATGCACGCATTGATATCCTAGAATAATTACGCGCCATGCATATTTGTTTTGACGATGTGCGGAGATTTTGCGACCTTCAAAAACCGGGTGCCAAATGTAAACGTATCATCCCCGTATCTGAACTTATTTGGCGGAATTAACTTCATTGGAGAAGGTTGATATTTCCTACAGCCAGTTCATATATTTTTCAGACACGTTTGAGATCATGTATTTACGGTGTATATATGGATCTCATTTGCGAATAAAAGGACTGTATTGATTACTCTGAGATTTGAATACTATCTTTGGAGATCGAAGAGTTAACATAAAAGATGGATAATGAAAAACGTCACACTGCACTGTGCCTGCGTGAGTTGATCTTCTCGAGTGTGAGAAAGGATGGATATCTAGGAATCAATGACTGAGCTCTTTAGCATGATATGAGATGGGTCTTTACTACTCCAATAGCCAATTAGGTTTTTTTTAGCACAGTACAGGCACAAGCGCTCATATAAACATGCATACACTCACCCATATGAACGCACACACACCCTACCCCTATGAGCACCTCCGAGTGACTGAGCCGACATATCATCATGAGATTTTACGAAGTCACCGTAGGCGCCTCGTAGTTGACAGCAAAGTCTCCTCCCACTGAACGCGCATCGCCGGAAATCGTCAAATAAATTCAGGATAAATGCGAGCAGCAGGACTTGAACCCTGGTGGGTTGGGCCACAGGTTGGTTCGCCCAATAGCCAATAGATTAGTGGTAGTTGTTGGGCCTCATAGAAGGGGTTTGCTACAATTGGCAACTTTTCTTTTAGTTTGGGAAAACAAGATATAAATCCATGAGATAACACCCTAAACTTCCATCAAACAAGCAGCACTGCAATACAATTAAAAAGCCTATTTTAGAACATGAGCAATGTGAGAGTCGTCTAAGAAGGAAAAAAATATTACATTCTTGCATTTTATTTTTTGTGGTTGAGAATGACATTCTTGTCATTAGTTCATGCTCATACTACTCTTTTGTCCTTAGTTTTCGTGCGTGTCCTTATGCTTTTGCTCTTTTGTCATGATTTCGTCCTGTGAAAGTCGTTTGGCCGTTAATGAGACGTTGGATTGACCGATTTGCCCCTATGAGCCACTCACTGATGCATGGGACCTAGACCTAGCTCGGTCACATTGGCCACTACCATGTGGGACCCAACACATCTATCCTTTTCAAATTGCATAGCACAAAATTGAACATAACACGGTATTAAACAACAATTAAACAACAACCCATAGTTCAAATGACATACCACAAAATTTGACTCAACACTTAACTTAATTACAGTCCATAGTTAATATGAGTCAATTGATTTGAACCTTAAAATCCAAAATACACGCTAAACAGTTTGAATTACACATAATTAAACATCACCGAAATAGGAGGGAGGCTGCCAAGCTACCTAGTCGTCATCCTGGGAGCCGGTTGAGGCTGCCGACCGCCAAGTCCACCTTATAAAAGGAGATGACGCCATCACCCTCTCAACAGTTGCCACCACCCAAAACTTTGGCCTCTGAGCATATAGATGTTTTTTTCCTTATTAGTCCTAACAGTCTCAGGTTCGCTACTTGCATGCGTGGGGGCTCAAGGTAGTATAAGAATATTGATGGTCCTGGTATTAAAGCATCTCCAACAGATGATGTATACTAGGGCAGCTGATTTGTTTTGCGTAGCAAATGTTTTAAAATAGGGTACCAGATATTTTCTGCCACAGCCGATGATGTAAAAATAGGGCACATGGTCATTGCATATTACGACATTTCAAAATACCAAATGTTCAAATTTAAACATGAGTTCAAACTTAAACATAATAACACTACGAAAGTACTACGATAGACACAGTACTATGCCCAATTAATCGGTTGTTAGGTAGACTAGATGACCCGGTTGCGCTAATGGCGCAAGAAGCGAATTAGAAAAAATGTTAGTAGTGAGTACGTAAGAGATATAACTCGAAATATAATGCAATGTGAATTGTATTACATCATGTATTAACCACAAATCATGAAATCAATACCAAGAGAACCAAATAATGTCACCATCTCTGTACTAACAACCAACATTTTAGCACAAGAAGTATCACAGGAGTGTTTACTTGCACATCAGGAGTATCACAATTACAACTAAAGAGGCATTGTCCTCACTGCTGTCCTTGAGCCTTTCACAAGGAGAGTTCCAAGCCTCGCAACTTCTTCCTCCAGCTCTGCACATGACTCTCGGTTACGAACCTCGTCCCTCAGCTATGATTATTTCAAGATGAAATCAATATGCTATTTATGTCACATGGAACATGTTTAGAATTTAGTCAGTCTCACTAATCTTTCAGCTACAAAGGCAGAAAGAAAAATGGCATGATCAATAACTAAAAAAATGAAACAATAATGCTTGTGGCATTAAAAAACCGAGAAAGTGAATTGAGGACAACAGAACAACTATTTGTAACAACGGCAAGCTTGGCTGATGCAAAATGATCACTCTGAAACCATATCTTTAGAACCAAATTAAAAAGGAACAAAATAATATAATACACCCTCCGTTTCAAAATAACTGTCTTAACTTTCTACAAAAACATCATGTATCTTTAGGACCAATTTTTAGACCATGGTACCACATAAATTAAGAATTAGACATATGAGATTGCAACGTATTCGTGATCAGTTACCAATCATGTCACACCAAGGATTTGCACATATAACCTGAAATAACTGCAGCTAGCTTGAAGTCTGAAATCTACCGGGTGACAAACAAAAGCAATACCACCAAACCTTATTCTTATTGGACGAGCACAAGATTTATGAGAAGATAACACACAAAAAATCCTATTTGGTTTCTGGATGCATGCACTTTCTGGATTATTGTGCACATCAAAACATGGAAGAACATTCCTAGGAGAGCCATTGTAGCACAACGAAGTAAACCAAAAATCAAAAAAGAGAAGTGAGTTTGTATCATGTAATTTAGCAATGTATCAGCCCATATCACCATTTATTTTTAAGAGACCAAAGAAAATGACAGAAGTTTCCCTATTCTTTCTTGTACCTTTCTACAAGAATGCTCTTTATTTACGAGCGCCACACAGACTATTTCCACTTGGCGGCAGGTTGGACACAACAATCCTCGCCGCAAGCTGCAGAAGAACCACACACTCACATACGTCAGGGCAGGAGACACGAACACGGGCGCCGTGAGGGGGGAACGGAACGGAACGAACCAAAAGGGGAGAGACAAATCGAAAGAGGGAACGTACAGAGGCATAGTCAGGCTGGGAGGCGGTGAGTGCGGCGGCGGTCTCGGCGGCGAGCTCGTCGAGCTGGCTGGTGGTGACACCCATGTATACCCTGACGCAGACCTTCTACGCAGACCTTCTGCGCGACGAGCACGGGTCATAGTGCTCTTGTCGAAGTGCCCATAGCTGAGTTTCTTGAGCCGCACCATGATCTTGTTGAAGTGCACCGTCTCCGTCCGCCCGTCCTGCTTCACGACGTACATCACCGAAAACTAACAAAAACATACCCATGTGCATCATCCAAACAGGAAATGGTTTTGCCTGTTTGTACATCAGAATCAATAATTGAATCATCAACAGATTGGTATATGCAACATGCTTAAATATCATGCCAGGAGAAGAAGTAAATGCCACATTTATGAATAACTAAACATTATGAATGCCATGCTGCATTTTGTAATGGCAATGATCCAAGGTAGTTAAATAGATGGTCATTATTAGGAATGCTCCATAGGATCTAAAGACACCCGCGCATGTTTCTTAAGTGTGCTTTCTAAAATTGGATACCCATTTATCTCTATTAGCTTGACTTGTAGCGGTGTGGACACCGCAAAGTTGATCCTATCCTAATAGTTACAGACAACAACCTTGTAGAAGATCATGCCCACCCTTGGTCCTTGGAGGGACGTGTGTTGTAGTGGTAACCACATCAGTGAACTTGAAAGGATATACATGTTCCTACATTACAAAAATGAAACAATAAGCATCTTCACAATAGGACAACATCACTCGGCCAACAGGGCATTTAACGCAAATGCATTGGCTAATGCCAACGTTGTCTGTTTCTTACACATGATAGCCATGAAATTGTTAATCGTATAAAAGTACAGGAATGCAAAGAAACCATGATCATTCTACAATTGTTGAAGCAAGTTATTATCTTTCAAGAAATCCTATAGAAAATAAGCAATGTAAAAAGAGAACGGCGTTTCGGTGCCCGGGTGCACCTGCACCCGGTCAAAAAAAATTCATAAAAATTTTAGAAAAATTCAAAAAATTCCAAAAAATATTTGGGTGGTAGACAATTTGATGCGTGAGGTACGCTCCAATTTTTAAAACATTTGGACTTCTGTGCAGCTCTCGGCAAAAAAGACAAATCAGACCAGAACAGTATATGAACAGTACACATTTTTACAGACCTCCGATTTGTCTTTTTTGCTGAGAGCTGCACAGAAGTCCAAGTGTTTTGAAAATTGGAGCGTACCTCACGCATCAAATTGTCCACCATCCAAATTTTTTTTGGAATTTTTTGAATTTTTCTAGTATTTATTTTGATTTTTTTCGTGAGCGCAGGTGCAGATGAGCTCGGGCTCAGATTCAAATTTTCGATGTAAAAAGGGGAAACAGCTAGGCACGCACTAAGAAACTGACGAACAATATCTGTCCAACTAAACTTCTACACCTGATGAAATCAATATCCTTGTAGAGGGCCCTTTATAATTGGAACAAAGAAACAATTTAAAAAAACAGTGCCCCTCTATTATCACCATAGTCTAGCAGATTAATTTAACACAATTTAGGATGAGTAGCACTATGATATTAAAACTGAACTAATTGTTCTCGCTACTTGTGCTTTCTGATGCCTTGTACATATTCATATATGATACAATAACACTGGCAGCAATTTCTCAAGCGCAAGAACACATATATTTTTCAACTAACAGATTGTATCTAAAGTCCCCCCAAAAGCTGACTTAGAATCTAATCAAATAAGTCAAAAACTCTTTTTTAGACTAAACAAGTAAAATCATGCCTTCTTGTGGCTACAGTTCAGTCTTGGCTAGAATTTAATCTAACAAGCAGAAACCTCATCAGAATTTAATCCAGAAATGAACGACAATAAGACAATTCTAAGCAAAGAGGAGGAAGAGGGGAGCAAAGCTGACAGGAAAGGTTGTCGGGGTGAGCTGAGGGCTTGCTTTCAGAAAAACTCTCCCACAGGCTTGCTCCACACTCGCCGTTGCTCTCGACCGCGACCGTAAATTTCTAGGAATATATGTTCCCTCTATATAATTATGCTGGATTTTTGGAGAGATGCATCACATAATATCTTTCAGTTTCAAATCCATGAGTTTGTGTAGATTTCGTTTGTAAAACTTTGTATAGATTAGGTTCTGAACTATCTTTATGAAACCTTTCGTAAGATCTGAAGTCAATCCTGTCAATTGTGTACAGATCCGACGAATAGATGGGCAAGGAAACCAAGTGTTGTCCCGGGAGTGATGGCTCGGATAGCTTGGTAATGATATCAATAAGTAATTATTGTGCAAACAATAACTAATGCAGGTTCCAGGATCTCGTGTGTTGCTGCTGATTACCGAAGGCATAATAGACAAACTCTAATCGATCTAGCTAGTCCAGGCACGACAAGAATGGGCCGCTGCATTGTAAGGTATATGCAAGATTCAGAAACATATGATTTCGTTACTTTTGACTCAGAACTGAACTAAGCTAGGCACCCGAACACCATGCAAGAATCCAGAGGGAAGCATAGCGCAAGTGCGACCCTCGCTGACCACCTAGAGGCACGGTATCAGTAATGCACCAAGATCTGTCTATTCAAGAGGTAAACAAGAACACATCCTCGTTTGATATCATGATATGCAAGCAAATTTCAAGCACACAGGGTTGATATGCAAACAAATATCACACACAGAGGGAGATCGCCCAAACAAGCACATCAGGTCACATCACTTTCAGTAGACCAAAACTGAGCAAGAGAGACCCAACCTTGTTGATAATGACACGGAGGACCCAACAAACAGAGAACATAGATCAGCCTGCAAGAAGAAAGAATAGAGAGAATGAACAACATGACAGCTCATAGACATTTCATGAAACACGTCAGGAGCATTGTAACGGAAGAACACCTGACCTTCGTATGATAATAATGAGCAGCAGCAGAATGGAAGGATCAGGGGCAAATTGAACGAATGAGAGCAGCCCCGACGATCTAAAGCTTCAGACCACCAATATCATCATAAACCATGTTTGTCGGCATTGCTAAAAAAACAGTAGAATAAGCAAAGAAAATTTCAGTTAACCACCTGGTACACAAAATAAAGGGCATTTAAATCCCCAAACCTGAAGATATGCTACAGGAGCACATGTACATTTGATAAAAACTAATGTACATGTATATGCATGGTTACTAAATATGGCAACAATATATATGGCACAATAATTTTACCCCGTCATTGGAATCTGAAGTCAGTGTGTTTATACACCCAGCTAAAAATCTAGGAAACGCAAAATAAGAATCTGAATGCCCAATAAAAATTAATCTGGCTGGGCAACTCGGCTACTCCGAGCTCCCCCAGATTGAACACTCGCTGGTCGCCCGATTCTGTCTTTTACATCATCTGAGCCGTCTAATTTTCACAATCTATTTTCACTTCGTGGTTATTTTTCCTCTTCTATGACTGGTGGGCTTATTATTGTGCTTGACCTGATTAGTGATTTGAATGATTAGTAATTTACCTGAGAGTATAAGTGTCACAAGTATATTCATTAACTGCCCTTGTACAACCTGCAAATTGATTATGGAATGAGCTTCTGACGGGAAATAGAAAACAAAAAACACAAAAGAACAGTAGGTACCTGACATAGCTCTAGCATGGTAAACTGTTATGAGTGCTTCCAGTCATCTTTGGTGCTGACTCGTATCTGACCATTGCCCTGCTCATCGAGGTCACTGTTGCACCATGACTCACGGCAAGGCCCATTTGCCAAGTATGCTTCAACTGCCAACAGACAAGCAATTTTGCATAAACCAATTGAGGCCCTTTTCACTAATTAAATCTACAAAACCATTTTATAAAATCCACTGGAACTATCCGACTATAGGACTGAATCAATGAAACATAACAGCAGGTGCAGAAACCACTCTAGACCTTTTTCACAAACTAAAGGCAGCTATTTATGTTCTAATTAACCCTGGGGCTGCAGCTGCTGTTATGAAAATTACTCTCTTCCTATCAATTTTCAGAAAATGGTTTAGAATGATTTCTGAAAATGGTCCAGAGTGGATCCTGACTAAATTGATAGGAAGAGAAGGAATGGGGGTGTTCTAGAACTATTGCTACACATATGTCATACATCTAAAAAAAGGAAAAAAGAACACCCTAAATACAGAACTGAAGAAAACAGGATAAAATAACCCGATGTATGAACTGTAAACTGATGAGATTATTAGTAGATATGATGAAATATGTATGTACATGTCATTAATTAATAGATTATGAATAGCAAGGATTTTGCAAAGAACAGCAAGACCCGTCATCCACGCTGGCCATTCCCATCCACGGGAGGAGAGAGCCAGTGTGTGTGTACTGTGTACGCAGGGATGGGAGGGGCTGGAGGAACAGATGAGAATCAAGGAAAAGGGAAGGGGAGGAGAATCCATACCTTGGTCCTCTGACCGCTGCAACCCGTGGTTGAAGGTGAAGAGGCGGTGGCGCAGGCGTGGTTGGGGGAATTTTTCGGGGCTCTTCGTCCAGCGGCGGTCGTCCAGGTCGAGTTCCTCCGCTTCTTGGCAGTGAGCGCCCGGGGCGCCGTTGAGCTCGTCCTCCCGCGGCTTCTCCCGGCGCTGCTCACCTGCGAGCGCAGCGGCGACGACGGGGCCGGCGGATCTGCGAGCGCCATGGCCATGGCCGTCGCCTGACCCGCTCGCTCTTCCTCTTCTCTTCTCTTCCCTTCCCGTCGCCTGACTCGCTCGCTCTCCCTCTTCTCTTCCCTTCCCTTCCCTTCTGAAAACGGGAGGGGGGAGGTTGCGGGCGAAGGCTGGCCGGAGGAGACGGGCGCGAGTGGCGGCGGCTGGCCGGGCGGAGGAGGTGCGGAGGAGGTGCGGCGGCGGCTGGCCGGGTGGAGGAGACGACGACGGCAGAACAGGGAGGCGGGCGCGGTCTAGCTAGGGTTCGGAGGGAGAGAGAGGAGAGGGGCGCAGGTGCGCAGCGCGAGTGCTAGATGGGGAGATGGCTTACCTCCATCGGAGCGGCTGCCTTTTATACGCTCGTATGCGAAATGACGAAAATGCCCTCAGCGGGGCATATATTAACAGGCGGTGGCACGATCACTATTCATGGCGTTTATAGGGCGACGTGGATGGCTCGGTTCTGCCTAGCAGTTCTTCAAGGTTTATATGTTCAATTAGTCGCTGCCAGCCCATTAACTTGTGGGCAAACAAAGCCCAAAATGTTGGCCC